AATCTTTTTCTCATAATACAATTTTTTTCCCCTTCTTATCAGGCTGGTTTGGATTGACGGTAACGTTTTGTTTGGTCTTGGTTATGTGACCCATTCTGTACTGTTTTTATATTGGTGTTTTGTATTTATGGATTTGAGAATGCTGGGTGTTAGCCAGGGACTGTTCAGTCTCTTAGCTGTCATCTGTTTAGTTTTTTTAGGGCAGTGCTTGTTATAGAGGTATTGGGTCTTTTTTAAAAAATTATTAATACATTCGTCAATATCTGTATAGATTTCTAGCTCAGTGTGCCAATCAATGTTTGCTACTGCTGTTGTGAAGTTATTTTAAAGGCTGCCTCATTGTGAAGTCTGAAGGTGACTTTAGTAGTGTCTTGGGGTATTTACCAAGAGTTGTTATGAGGAAAGTAGGGTAGTGGTCTGTGGTATTTTCTGTAATTATGCCTGATTTTAAAGGGGATATGGTGTTGGTCCAGATGTGGTCAAGTAGGGAAACACTAGTCTCTGTAACTCTTGTAGGTTTTGTTACTGTTGGTAGTAACATACAGTTACTCATTGTGTTTGTGAAATTTAGTAAGTGGGGGGTTGGTCTTGCAGGAGATTTATATTGAAGTCACCTGAGAGTAGTAAGTGATCTTTGTTCATGCGGGCATCAGTTATCATACTTCCTGGGGTTTTTGACAAATTGGCAAAATTTTGACTGGGGGGAACTCTTTTAGATGTTTACAATGGGGAGGGGTTTTTTTGTAGGTATTTGGAATTTGAATTTGGCTTTTTAGCGTTTACTAAGTTCCCAATGCTTGAAAAACAGTTTTTACATACTTGTTTTAACTTGTGCGCCTTATTTCCCAGAAAATAGGGTTTACAAAAAAAACAGTAAAAGAATGGGCCCTTTAAACCCGGGAAACCAAACAAACTTTTACTCGTAAACCCTAACCAGCCTGATAAGAAGGGAAAAAAAATCTTTTCGCTCCCTTTGACCACGGTTTCCGAGTAAAGGGGTTTTTGCGCTGCCCCCCTTTTGCTGTTCAGGCGAGTTCCCTTGTATCAAAATGGCGTGAGTGTGGGGAAAGGCGCGAAAATTTTACCATTGGTATTGAGCTGCTTGGGGGGGTTTAACCCTCTTCAGTGAAAAGTTTTACCCCCGACAATCTTTTGGGAGCCTAGGGAAATCCAGGACGATGAGGGGTATGGTTAGCCTGAATGGGGTTATAAAAATCTTCGCAAACTGAATTCCACGTCCGTGTAGGAGTCTTTGGTGAGGGAGGTTCCAAAGACGTGAGTTTTGGGACGTCCCTCCAGCTGTAAAGGTGGTTTGATCAAAAGGGTATCTCCCCACTTTACGGGGGGTTAAGATAGGGAATGTCCCATTTGAGGCAGTTGAGGTGACTTTAAGAGTTTTTTTTGAGACTAGGGAAAACCGTACATCTGGCAAAAAGGGAAAGGGGGGAAACGGCAGGTCCCTTACATGGGCGCCCGGAGGGTACCTTTTCCCGGGAAAAATGACTCTGAGACACCCCAAAAAGGGTTTTCGTCGTGTTGGGGGAAATTTCGGGAACGCAAGTTATGGTTTTCGTATGCCGGACGGACGTACGTGCAGAATATGGGGGGCATACGCCCCATATGGGGGCCCAGGGGGTGCGTGAAACGAGGAGGGGGGGCCAGCGCAAATGGTGAAGCACAGTTACCAGGTGATAGCTGTTGAGAGCCCAGTGCGCAAGCAAGGGCCTGGGGCTTGGGGAGTAAAGGGGTTTGGATTTTTCCCAAAGAGGAGATGGAGGGTTTTAGGTAAGCTGTGATTTTAAAAAAGGATCTTTTAAATACACAAAGGAAAAGTACAGAAGTCCCAAGTGCAGGGGAGGTGCAGGCTCTAGAGGAAGAGCTTCAGGGGGGTTTGTTAAGGACTTTGACACCGCCTGAAAGAGGATGTTTTCCTGAGCGGGGTGGGGGAACGGGGTGCCTTAGGGAAATTTAAAGGGAAAAAAAAAAATAGCAGGGTTGAGGGCCCAACTAGTAAGAGAGGTTGTCGCCGTGTGCTGGGGAAAACGGGGCTGGTGGAGGTTGAGGTTCATCGTAAAGGGAACCCCAAAAGATAAAAATGGATGTAGGGGGCATCACGGGGAAAGGGAGAGCGGCGGCGTCAGACCAGTTTGATTTTCCTAAACCCCGGCGAAAGGGGTTTTGGGGGGAAGGAAAGAGCATTGTCGAAGCAGTCAGATAAGGGGCATCGAAAAAAAAGGGGAGGGGTTGATGGTGTAAACCGCTTTGCGGCTCTGGGGCAGGGGGCCCTGGGATGAATAAAGAGAGGAGGAAGGGTTTGGGAAAAACTAAAAAAGGGAGGCCTTAGGTGTAGGACTGTAAAACGAAAAATGGACTGTGTAATATTTGGGGGGAAGAAGGAATGGTTTCGAATTTTTTTCTGTATTAAATTTGGTTTGGGGTAGTGTTCCTGAAGAAAAAATTTTCCCAAGGGGGAAAGGGAAAGTGCTCGAGGTGGAGGGGTTTCAGGTCATGATTGCCTTCTGAAAGGGTCTGAAAGGTGGTGTGGGTTTATTTTTGTTCAGGGGGGAAGCCCGTTTTGTTGTAAGAAGGGGAGGGGGGGGGAGGGGAAGATTTATTGCGGGGATGGGTGGGGGGGGATGGGAAAAGGGGTATTTTTTGTATGTGTGTATGCACCAGGGGAAAAAAATGATGTGAGGGGTAAAAAGGGATTTTGTTTGAAGAAATAGTTTTCTTCTTAGTTTTTTTTTAAAAAACCCTGCAGTGGCCATCGTTGGTGGCGACGGGGGAAATGCGTTATTGGGAGGGCTGACGGGGAAACCAAAAGGGGCGGGGCACGTGTCAGCGGCCCTTGCGAGTTTCTTTTGAGGGTATTGTTGGGGGGTGTTTTTGGGGAGGGGGGGGCGTGGGGGGTAGGGGCACACTTTTGTAAGACGGGGTTACGTGTAGGTTTGGGATAGGCTGTTAATCTAAAGGGGGTTTGGGGTTTGACTTTTTTCCGTTAAAAAGGGAAGTGTTTTTCGGAATCATCGGGCGGTAGTAGCAGAGGTGGGTGGGAGTCACTAGCAGGTATATATGGGGGATTTTGGGAAAATTAAATAAAAGGGTGTTTTGGGTGTGGGGGAGGGGATAGAGGGATTTCCCAACGTGTGGGAGGGGTTACGTGCGAGAAAAAAGGGGGTAGAGGAGGGGTTGATTGGTGGGTTGGTGTGGCAAAAGAAGGATTAAGAATTTTTACGAAAAAGGAAAGGGGAAAAACTTTTCAATTTTTTAAAAAAATATGGGTTCCCAAATATTTGGAGGATAGATTAGGGGGTTTTTTAAATTCGGGGGGGGGTGGTGGCGGGAAAAACCCTTATCCAATGTTTAAACATTAGGGTTTTTTAAAGGGAGGTGCGTGGGGTACGGGGATGGGGGTTTCCCAAAGCGGTGCGGGTACAGGCGGGGGTGGAAGGGGGGTTTTAGGGGGCGATAGCCTTCATCGTGGTATTGGTAGGCAGAAACAAAGACAGCGGGCAATGACTATTCCAGGGTTGGAGGTTAGAATCGATAGGGGGGGTACGGGGGGTGGGGCAGGTCATACAAGTAGGGAAAGGAAGGGGGGCTTTTGGAAAAGGGTGGTATGAGAAGTACGGGCAACGGGGAAGGGGGTAGAGGAGGGGGTTTTTAAAAAAAGGTGTGTGGGAGTGTGGTATGTCATTTGCGAAAACAGTGATAGGGAAGCATGGGTGGCGAAATAACTGGGGGGGGGAAATTTTGGAGGGTTTTAAAGGGGAAATTGCGAAAGGGCAAAAGCCCCGGGAAATTTGAGGGACCCCCGGTGAGTTTTATCACCCAGCTTTGGGAATTTATTGAGGCTTTTTTTCGGGTTTAGGTTATTAAATTGCTGAAGGAGAGAGGTGAGTGGGTGAAAAAGCAGGAACGGCTGTGTTGTATTGGTCCCAAAGGGGGTTAAGGGGGCAGCATACGTTTCGGGATTCCCGGGCGATCTCGTTTTTATGCGCGGGTTAAAAAATTTTTTGGCGAAGTTTTTGGGGGAAAATGGGGGGTAAAGGGTGTGGGTAGGGGGGGGGTAGTATAAAAAAAACTCGTTTTTTTTGCCGGGAGGTTAGGGTTTGGGGGGGGCATGGGTTACTTAGGATTTCTTTGGAGGAAAAAGGGGGGGGGGGGGAGGGGGGTTTTTTGGTGGCGCTCGATTGGAAAAAAAAAAAAAAAGGGGCAAAACGATAGAGGGGGATCGGAAAGAATTGAAACCATCCTCGGGGGGTCAGGGGTTTGGGGAAGAAATAGTGGGCGGGTTGGGGCGTTGTTGGAGGTGAAAATGGCGGGGGTACAGTTAAGGGTCGTTTGGGGGGGAAGATTGTAATGGGTGGGGGATTTAGGAAAGGGGTGTCCTATGTCCCCAATTTATTTTTTGGGCATCGTACGGGGACCCCTTTTATAAAATTAAAGGAGCAGCGTATGGTCACGTAGGGGGACCAGGGTGTGGGGTTGCGGGGGTTTTGGGCCCCATTTTTTATTTGGGGTATGGGGATGATACAATTTTTTGGGACCCGGGGGGGATGTCAAGGGAAACACATTAGACGGGGTAGTACAAATTTTCGAGGGGAAAATGGTATGGGGGTTTAAATTCTTTTTTTAAAATCCAGGGTCAGGGGGGTTAGGAGTTGGGCGGGTAGGGTTGTTTGGGGGTAGTGCAGTTTTTTGGGGAAGCAGGTGAATTCGTTAAAAATCTGGGGTTTTAAATTTATGCAGCGAATTTACCTGTGGCCCCGCATGGAAAAAATGCTTAGGATGGTTTGAAAGGATTCGGGGACGCTTGGGTTTCATTGGACCATTCATTTGACCCTTGTGCAGGTGCCATTGTTGTTAAAATTTATGTATAGCAAAGTTGGCAGTTTGGGAGCCCTGTTCCCATTAAATGGGCCAGCAAAAACGAACTTTCTTAGGGAAAGGTTTTTAAAAACTTGTGGGGGGTTTGAGCTGTGATTGGATTAAGAGAGATGTGGTATTTACCTGTAAGTAAGGGGGGGTGGGGTTTCTGGGGCTTTAAAACGGAGGGTCAAAAGTGTTTTTCATTAAAAGGGAGGTGATGAGGGAAAGTTTTGGGTGGGGGGGGGGGGGTTTGGGCCCGGATCCATAACAGAAATTTCAACGGATGTTACCAAAGGGGTTGGTTGATGAGTGTGAAAAATGTGTTGAGGGCCCCTGGCGTGGGATCGAGAGCCAGCAAAGGTTAAAATGGTTTGGTTGTGTTTGATTTTTAGCCCGGGGGGGGGTTTTTTTTTTTTTTTTTTAAAAACCTGTAAAGGGGAATTTTTTTTTCCCCCCCCCCCCCTGTATGCATGGGGGGAAATATATGGAAAGGTTGAGTAGGGTTTAGGTTGCAACCCCGTGTTCGGGGGTGTTAAAGTATCGTTTTCTGCACGGCATTTTACCGTGGGTGTGGTTCTTTCGGGGGGGGATTGGGGGGGCCGGAAAAATCGTGTTTGGGGGCCGGGGGGGAATTTTGGGATATTTTGGTGGGGGAAAGGGGGGGGTCGGCTTTTATGTAGTATTTTTTTTGTGATGGACTGAGGAGGGGTCAAAGGGGGGGTTTAAAAGGGTGAATTTAAAAAGGATTGGGGGGGAAAGGAAATTTTGTATTGGGGAGATTAAATTCCCCGACGTGGGGGTTTGGGGGGGAATGTGTAATCCGAGCTTGTGGGGTACATTTTTGGCGATTAATCTATAAAAGTGTGGGGAAATTTCGGGGAAAAAGGTTTTCTGAGGTGAAAAAGGAGGGTGTTGGTTTTAAAGTTCTATAAAAGGTATGTAAAATAGGGAAAAATTTTTGGGAGGGGGGTTTGGGTTTAAGGATTTTTCAGAGGGATATAGGGGAAATTTCGTTTAAGGGTTTTTTTAGACTTGTAAAATTTCGGGGGGGGGGGGGGCCTGATTTTGGGAAAATGTTGCTGGGGGGGAGGGAAGTAGGGGTGAAAAAAAGGGGTTTTCCTCCCTGGTAATGGATAACAAAAGTTTTGCGGGGGGTGTTGGATGGTGATGAAAGAGTGAATAATATGTGGACCACGGGGGGTTTAGCACCTGTGGAGCGGGCAAATTTTTGTGTGCAGGAATTTATACTTTTTTACAATTTTTGTGTGGTTAAAAATTGGGTTTTCGGTAATTTACATTGTAATTTTGGAGATTTGCTTGATTTTTTGCATGTGTTTGCCCCCAATTGTTTTTAGGGGCCTTGACTGCCTAGTGTTGATGCTGTGACATGCACGGTTTTCCAGAGATTTGGTGTGTTTTGTTTTTTTATTTATGTTGTGCATTTTGTTCGTCCTGGTGTTTTTGCCCAATTTTTAGTTTTTTTTTTTGAGAGTAAAAGGGGGTTAAGCACCCTCAGATAGTGTAAATAAAATTGGGCAACGTGGTTTTTTTAGGGTTTGGGGGGTTTGGTTTCGTGTTGGCACCCGTTTTTTTTGTGTTACTTTTGTCAGGGGTTTTTTTTTATGTTGTCCTTGTTGAAAACTGTGGATTGGTTTAAAACTGGGAAAAATTTCATGTTTAAATGTGTAAAGGCTTTCAGGGGTTGGAAATTTTTAGACTAAGTTTATTTAGGGTTTTTTTAGTAATTTTTTTATGTCCTTTTTGACTTTTCTATATCACCATTTTTGTGTTAAAAACAAAATTGGGTTTTGTAAATGGGGAACATTAGGGGCAATTTTATAAATTAAAAGTTTGGTTTATTTCTGGGTGATTTAGATTAGGGGAACATTTTTTTGTTTATAGTTTTTGTTAGGTTGTAAAAAGTTTTGGGGGGGTTGGATAACCACTAGGGGGGGGGTAATATGTTCTGTATTTAAAATGTTTAGTGCAATGCATTGCTGGTTTTGTAGTCGTTTATTAAGTCCTTTTTGAGGGAAAAGTTTTGGGGGGTTTTTTAAAAAATGTTGTTCTTTTCATGTAATTCTGTTTAGTAGATCCAACAGGGGGTTTTGGGGTTTAAATGATAGGTGGAAAGGGGCAGGGGGGGGGGGGGGGGTGTACCCCCAAAAGGAGTTGTAAGTGTGGTGGTAAAAATTTTGCTGTAGGGAGGATTGTGTTAATTTATAGAATTTTAATTTAGTTTTAATATTTTATTTTTTTAATTGGGCAGGGTTTAAAAAAAAAATATAAAAAAAAAAAAAAAAAGTAACTTTCGTTACTCTTGTGTTTTTGAATTCAGTTTAAAAAAATTGTGGGTCCTGGGCTTTTCAGGAGATTTTTATTTTAAGTACCTGAGAGTAGTAAAATGATCTTTGTTTATGCGTGCCCTCAGTTATCATACTTCCTAGGTTTTGACTAAAATTTGGGTAATTTTTTTGATGTGGAAATCTGTTGATGTTTTCAAAGTGAGAGGGTTTTTGTAGGTATTTGGAAATTTTAAAATTTTGGGTATTTTTGCAGTTTTCTAATGTTTTCAACTGCTTTTAAAAGTCTTAAAATTGTATATTGTGCGCCTTATATGCAAAAAATATTTTGGGCTTAAAAAAGTACAGAATTGGGGCACATAACCAGAGACCAAACAAAAAAGTTAATGTCAATCCAACCCCGCCTGATTAAAAAGGGCCCAAAAAAAATTTATTATGGGGAAAAAGATTATCCAACTTACGAGGTGATTAAAAAAGACCCGGAAAACCCATCAGAAAATTTTGGGGAAAAAAAAAGATTAAGAAAAAAGCGAAATTTAAAAATTTGGGAAAAAACAGATGAAACCCCCAAATCCCACCAGCGAAACAGCAAAAGGAAAATCAATTTATTTTTCTCTTTCCATAGGACAAAAACCCTTTCCAATTTAAAAACCCAAACTCAGATACCCCACCCCAAAAAACCCCACCTTTACCGGGGGAAAATCCCCCAAAAAACACTGTTCCTAGCTCCGACTAACCCCTACCCAAGGGCTCCCTTATTATAAAAAAGCACTAAAAAACAAGGCAGGAGATTTAAATACCTTACCACCCTTTATATACAAAAAAATGTTTACAAGTGCTATCCCAATCATTGCAACACTCTTTAAAAAATCCCCTTGAATCCCCCACCCTTTCCCCAAAGTACTAAAAAAAGCAAGGGTCACCCGATCCCAAAGGAGGAGACCCAAAAAAAGTTGAATAACTATTGGCCAAAAATTTCCAAAATTACACCCTCTCTCAAAAAAAACTTCGAAAAAATTTAAATTTCCCAAAGAAATTTTTTTACTCCTTCCTTATTTTTTCCCAAAAAAAAAAAATTTTTTTTTTCCCCCCTGCAATTTGGATTCAGGCCTAATAAAAAAACTAATGATGCTATTTTACACATTTCTAGAACTTTAACCCACTGCAATAGAGAAAAAAGGGAAATCCCACTGGGGATCTTCATTTACTTACGTAAAAATTTTGATACGTTGCCAAAGACTTGTCCACGTAAAATTGTTTACACTATGGTATAAGAGGGGGACTCCCTCAACAAACCCCAAGTCATTTCCTCAGCAACAGAAGCCAAAAATGTGTACGCAAATGGGGCAAACTTTTTGCGCAAAAAAATTACGTTGGTGTCCCACAGGGAAATTGGGCCTTGGCCCCCTTTCTTTTCCTATACATAAATGGGCCCTTCCCAAAAGCTTCGCCCAAATTTCTCAAACCCCCACTATTTTCAGATGACCAAAATTCATACGTTTCTCTCCCCCGAGGCCCCCCTTTACGCTAGCCAATACCCGTTTAAAAAACCCAATTACAGAAAATATTCCTGGGTGAGGATAAAAATTACACTAATCCCGACGAAGTAAAACAATGCATGAAACCCATAGCCCTGTTTTTGAAATACTCACTTGGTTTATAGTTATCGTTTACAAAAAGTATTATCATGATTTCATCATTGCTTAGTTAATTTTAAGTTAATTTTAAGCCAGCCCGTAATGCTATGCATAGTATAAGTGGCTTTGGCATGCTGCTCTTATCTGTATTTTTTTGTACCTCTGTATGTATGCTTAAATTGTTAATAATAAAAAAAATAAAACGTGTATAAAGCACAATTTAAAAATTTAAGCTACTCTTTCGGCGAGATAAACCAAAACAAATGAAAACGAAAATAAAACGAAATCTAACGTTATATTACCTATCATACATTGACCAGGGTTTAAATTTTCTACACAACGTGAAACACCATAGAAGATAATGAGTAAATAAAACTCTCAGTTCAAACGTACAAGATCTTTACAAGACACACAACACTACACATGATCTTCACAAGATCAATAACGTCCATCTTTTCTGATTACTATTATAATCACTTGGCAGCGCTAGACCCGTAGGAATATACAGCTTCTTGGGGGGGGGGGGGAGGAGGAGGATGGAAAGTATTGAAGCGCAATTCAGGGAACTGGAGCACAGATCCAATTCCCTAGATCAAGAACCCTCCCTTGTGGGGGGTTTCTTTCACAACCACCAAAATGCACTTCATGTTCGTGTTTTTTTTTTTGTGATTAAAATATTTTATCACTTGTAAATTACATTATGTTAATAACAGAAATACAATATTTAACTCTTATTCTCTTCACCTTATTTGTAGTCACATATTACCGTTGTTGTTTGAGAAATAAGTAAAAAAAGTCACTTGTTACCCCCGGAAAAAATTTAAAAAAATTGAAATAATTTGTCAACGTCGTCTTAGGATGGATGGATGGTTGGGGGGATGGTTGGGGTGGATGGCTGGGTGGATGGTTAGGCGGATGGTTGGGTGGATGGTGGGGTGGATAGTTGGGTGGATGATTAGGTGGATGGTTGGGTGGATGATTTGGTGGATGGGTTTGGGGGGATTGGGTTTGGGGGGATGGCTGGGTGGATAGTTGGTGGAGTGGGGGATAGTTGGGTGGAGGTGGGGGGATGATTGGGTGGATGGCTGGGTGGATGGGTGGGTGGATGGAGGTTGGGTGGTGGTTGGGTGGATGGTGGGGAGGCGGGTGGTGGTGGGTGGGTGGGTTTAGTGGACGGTTGGGGGATGGTGGTGAATGGATGGGGGGG